GTCGGGGAGGGACCCTGAGCAGGGATGAGGAAAAGCACCGTGCCATGCTGACTTTAGCCCCCTGCCCCCGCTGTGTACGCAGGTCACACACACTGACTGTGGAGCCTGCCCAGACCGGGCGTGTGTGTGTGTGTGTGTGTGTGTGTGTTCTGGGGCTCGACCAGGCGGTGCTGGAATGAATTGAAAGAGCAGTGACATTTCCTTGATTGAAGGAAGCAAGATTGTAGTCAGATGTCAAGGAGGTGAGCATATCTTACTGCATCACACCCTGTTGTCTGGCAGTCTATTAACTAGAATTTGTCTGTCCTGTTCAGACCCTCCGTGGCTTCCTGAAAAGAGTCCTTGGCCGGCATTCAGCCTTTCACAAGCTGGCCCTGACCTACCTTCCCATGTTTCTTTCTCACTAACTAACAATAATGGTAATACTTGTATTTGCCTATACAAAATGTTCTTATATTCCGTATTTCTCTGGATCCTCTTAGTAATCATTTTTCGAGATGAGGCCATAGGCGCAGAGAGGTGAAAGGACCTGCCCAAAGCCGCTACACCCGGAGTAGACTGTGGCCGTGGTAGACTATGCGTTACCCTTTGGAATAGTTGCTGCCCCTGCCTAGGGACAGGTTACACTTTCCTGCCCTAATAACATGAGGGTTTGGCTTGGACTTGCTTTGGCCACTGAAATAATGTGGACATTAAGTGGCACATGTCACTTCTGAGTCCGCTTGTGATTTTCCATGCCCCTTCTCTCTACCAGAAGACAGGCACTATCCCAGGTAGGGCTGCTCTGTCAGCCTGGATCCTGAGTCCTGGAGGGACACGTACGTCGAGCAGAGTTAGAGCTAGCCCACCCTGGACATGTCACGTGCATGAGAAATGACCCACTGCTGTGGTAGGCCACCAAGCTGTTGGGGTCACCTGTTGCTGCAGCATGGCTAAATCTGAGCTGACCACGTGGTGGTCAAACGTGGCTCGGTTCTAGACCTCCTCAGAGTGCAGCTCTACCACGTTTATCCCCTGTGTTCCAGACAAACCACCCTGCTTATTCTCACCTCCGTTCATTTCTTCATCCTGCGGTCTCTGCCCAGAACTCCGTTGAAGTCCTACCCATCTTCCGGAGTCATGCTTGGAATTCACCTCTTCTGTGACGCTTCCTCAGAATCATAATACTGCCAAACACTGAGCAGCATTTACTTATTATGTGCCTAGCAAACTCTACTTGTTTTAATTCATCTCATCTTCACCCATGAAATAAGCCCTATCTCTGCTGCCATAGAAGGTGAAGAGAGGTAAAACAAATAGTCTAAGATCACAGAATTGGTGATTGGCAGAGCCAAGACTCGAACCCCACACTCCTTCTACTCCACTACCCATTCTCCTTCTGTTCCCTGTTACATTTCTACACATCCCTTCTCCTCAGCTATAACAGTGCTTTACCTGATTGACCACATTTTCTAGATCTGAGTTTAGGTATAAATTCCGCCATTTACTGGTGGTATGACCTCGGGCTGATCACTTAATTTCTCTGAGCCTCAATTTCCTCTTTGTATCCCCCACAGCACCTAGTAAGGTGCCTAGTAAATACTGACTGACTGAGCAAATGGATGAACTCTCTGAGCCCTAGTTTGCCCATTTGTAAAATGAGTGTAATAATGGAACCTCCTTCATTGGGTTGACTAGCACAGGGCAGGGTACATGGTAAGATGTATATGATACAATGTGGCTGTTATTATTATTAGCTGTAGGAAATGTAAATGTAGCATATAACATACAGAGAAAAACTCTACTTCTCACTGTGGGGTTTGGGAAAATCTAGCTGCATGGCAGAAGTGATTTGAGTGGTCATTATAGAGGCCTAATAGAATCTGGACACAGAGATGAGGTGAAGGGCAGGGCATCTTAGGCAAAGGGAACAGCATAGATAAAGACACAGAGAGGGGCGCCTGGGTGGCTCAGTCGTTAAGCGTCTGCCTTCGGCTCAGGTCATGATGCCAGGGTCCTGGGATCGAGTCCCACATCGGGCTCCCTGCTCGGCAGGAAGCCTGCTTCTCGCTCTCCCACTCCCCCTGCTTGTGTTCCTGCTCTCGCTATCTCTCTCTCTGTCAAATAAATAAATAAAATCTTAAAAAAAAAAAAAAGACACAGAGACAGTGTGAGTCTTAAAATCTTAATCCTCCTTCCCCCAGTTATACCATTATTAGGGTCAGATCTAAGGAAATAATCCTAAATATGAAAAGATTTTATGCATAAAGATGGCCACTGCAGTATTTATGAAGGTGAGAACATGGAAATAACTGGTAAGTCCAACAATAGGGAAGTGGTTAAATAAATGACCTTATATCTACCTGATATATTATTATCTGATATATAGCATTATATTATAATTAAATGTATGAGAAGTATATAGTAAGGAAAAAGTTTATGAATGATGCTATGTGGGGAAAAAAGATAAAATGAATAATCAGTATGGTTACAACTATATAAAAGCAAGTTTTAAAATCAAAATAATAAATAAATAAATAAATAAAATACACAGAAAGTCTAGGAGGAAATATTAATAGGAGTGGCTTCAGAGAATGGGGTTTGGTGACAGCTCTGAGAGATTTAAGTTTTCTTCCTTACATTAATCTCTATTACTAGAGCTAGCCTTTAATGAGCACTCACTATGTACTAGGCACTGCACTAATATTTTACATATACTATCTCACTTAATCCATACAACCCAGTGAGGAAGGTCCTCTTGTTAACCTACTACAAATAGAGAACCTAAGACTTCTATATTTATACAATAACCATGTAATTACTTGTATAATAGGAAAACCAAATATTTACTGCATTTATGTAATACTTTATAACTAAGAGATAAGAGATTCAGATTCCTCCCCCCCCCCCTTTTTTTTGTGCTACTTCAGGGATAAAATACACATCATTCTGCATGTTTCCTTATGTACTGATACCCTTATTTTGGTAAATTACATTTCTTAAAGTGATACTGGGGTCAAAGTATATGTGTACCTTTTTTAAATTTTGAACTCATTTTAGAGTTACAGAAAAGGTATAAAAATAGTAGAGATTATTTGGCAATAAAAAAGAATAAAATACTGGCACATGGTACAACTTGGATGAACCTTGAAAACATTATGCTAAGTGAAAGAAGCCAGACACAAAAGTCATACATTCTGATTCCATTTATATGAAATGCCCAGAATAAGTAAATCTATAGAACAGAAAGCAGATGGGTGGTTGCGTGGGTAAGAAGATGGGGAATGGAGAACTTTGAGGTGGTTTCCTTTTGAGGTGAGGAAAATGCTTTCTTTCTTTCTTTCTTTCTTTTCTTTCTTTTCTTTCTTTCTTTCTTTCTTTCTTTCTTTCTTTCTTTCTTTCTTTCTTTCTTTCTTTCTTTCTTTTTGAAAATGCTTTCAAACGAGTGGTGCTGGTTGCACAACGTGGTAAACGTAATAAAGCCACTGAGTTGTGCACTTTAGAAAGGTGAATTTTATGGCATGTGAGCTGTATCTCAATAAGCTATTATTTTAAAAAAGAAAACAGTACAGAGAGTCCCATGTACACATCACTGAGGTTCCCCTAATGTTCACAGCTGGGAAATGAATGGATAAATTGCAGGATGGCACTACTATGGAATAGTAAAAGTACAGAATAGTACGATTCCTTTTCTCCCCCCTAAAAATTGTTTAAAAGAAATGAAGACCCTTTATATGTGTGTATAGGTTACCTTACGTTTGCAATAGCGTACATAAAATAATGCAAGTACGCAAGTGAGCTTAATACTGGTTACTCAATGGCAGAATTAAGAGAGGACAGACGAAATTATGCAGTTTGTTTTTACAACCCTCTATTTAGTTTAATTCAGTATAAAAGGGCATGTAATTTTTCAATTTAAAAATATTAAGAAAAAAAAAGGACAAGAGATGCTGCCCTTGGGATTTCCCATACCTAGACAGTTATCTCTAGGTTTTAAGCTGCAAGATTTTATTAACGTCACACATGCAGGGGTCCTTCACCATCAGCTCCAGGGAGAGATGGAACCTGAGTAGGAATCCTGGGGAATGGAGGGAGGAGTAGGAGTGCTGGTTAAGGTAAAAGCTTCTGGGTTGGGCAGAAGCGCTTTTGAATCCCAGCTCTCTACCACCTACTGAGCTGTGGACCTTGGGCCAGTTGCTTAACTGCCCTGTGCCTTGTGGGAGTAATTAGATGTCCTCTTTCATTGGGCTATCGTGAAAATAAAATGAGATCATTCATGCCAGATGCTTAGCACAGTGCCTGGAACATAGTAGTCAATAAATGCTAGGCATCATTATTATTATTAATATTATTTACAGTAGATGTTTCCCAGTTGTTTGAGGAGTGGGAAATGGCTATAAACATCTAGAGGAGTGGATGATGACCTCAACCTTGCCAGGCCTACCATGCTTCCCAACACCCAGGTTGACGTGCCACCAATCTGAGAACTGACTTCGTTCTTGCTGGTATTATCCTCAGCTAAAGAAAAAGGCTCCATTTCCCAGCCTCCCTTGCAGCGAGGGGCCGGGGAGGTCTTGGGTGACCCTTCCCTCTGGGAAGATGCCCTTTTGCTCTTCCTTTCTCTTTATGCTTCTGTGGCCTGGATCCATCCCACAGATGGTAGCTGGAGCCCTATCAGCACTCTTGGCCCATGCCACAACTTCAAGGAAGGATGGTGGGGCGGGAGGGAGCACAGGAGCCTGAGACCCTGATGCCCCTGGGGTCACCATGCCAGCCCCAGCTCACCTTCCTCAGGACTTCTCTTATAAGAAAGAGCAATAAACCTCTATGTTGCATAAGCCCCTTCTCTGGGTTTCCTAGACTGTGCAGATAAAGGCAGCCCTAACTGAGTGCTCACAACACCACTAAGCTAAAAAGCAACAGCTCCTGGCTAAGAGCAGGTGAAGGATGTGACGAGGGGAGGGGGGCTGGCTGCCTTCTCCTGGGTGAGGCTGGAGGTGGGGCTTGGCCTAGACACTTACTCATCACCGATGTAGAGCTGGGGCCAGACCTCGTTGACATGGGTGTACTGAGGACTGCCCTTCCAGAAGAGACGCTCCAGCTCGAAGGCTCCGGGAGTGCAGTACTCATCCGCTTCTACCTCTCCCTCCACCTTCGGCGGCAGCCTCTTGGCAGGCGCGTAGGCATTTTGGAGGCTTGTCTTTGGTTCTCTGGATGTCATCTTGGAGCCTTTCTGCAATTGGTCATGAGGGGGTCAGGATTATGGGTTAGCAGGGGACAGAGATAGGGAATGGTCTTTACAAAAAGAGGTGGGGATGAGCTGACCTTCGGAGTCAGCAGGCATTTTGCCGGCCTGCTGTGCTCCCTCCTCTCCCCGGGCCGCAGGGGTAACCAAGGAGGGCCACGATGGCGTTATACAACGCTGCAACAACGTTCCAGTCTCCTTCAGTGTGAGAGGGCTGGTGGCCCTCTGACATGGGCCGAGGAGGGTTTGCAGCAGACCTAAGACAGGCTTCAAGCCTCAGAAATCCCTATAGGCTGCCAGTCCTTTGCCTCCTTTCTTTTAGCTTTTAGCCCCCCTTTGGTGCCTCGTTTTTCCTTTATCTGATTGGGATCTGCGGGCTCTGGCCATGGTTCCTGCCATTCCAGGCCCTGTGATTCTCCACACCTGCAGGCAGCTGTCGGCCAGTGGAAAGGGCGCACCTGTAAATCCAGAGCCTGTTTGATCCGAGCAGCCATGCACGTTCTGGGAGCTTCAGGAGCCCTCGGCTGGAAGGAAGCTTGGCTGCCTGAGGGTCCCTCGGCACGTTAGGGCAGTTGAAGGCAATGTTGGCGGCTCTCACTCGAGGGGGTTGGCAGTTATGCTAACCTACCAGGGGTCAGAGGAGATGTTCCAAGCTGGAAAGCTGTGTTTGGAGATTGAAATGCATACTTGGAGAGCGTGTCAGGCTCTGCAAATGGAATGCGGGAGAAGAGTTTCCATTGTCCCCAAGGAAAGGAATTCGCTGTGCAATTGGGCAGCAATGCATCTACACTCAGCCAGCCCGAGGGGAAGTTACGCTCTGAGACTGACAAGGGCAGCAAGACTGAGAACCATGGAGGTGAGTGATGGAGAGGGAATGTTATTTATTTAACAAATACTTAGCTGGTGCTTACTTTGCACCAGGCACTGTTCCAAGTGCTTTGCAATTATTAACTCATTTAATCTTCTTAACAACCTTCTAAGGTAGGCATTATTATTATTATCTCTATTTTACAGGTGAGGAGAATTGTAAATTGAGGATGTTTGTAACACACGGTCTTGGTCTTCTGAGAAAGAAATAGTTGCTGGGAGATAGGGGTGGGGGTACAGTGTGAGGGGGGTATGCCAGGGATTTGAAGAATGTAAAAAAAGTTTGCTAGTGTAGGGTGGCTCAGTCAGTTAAGCCTCCTCCAACTCTAGGTTACTGCTCAGATCGAGATCTCAGGGTTGTGAGATTGAGCCCTGTGTCGGGCTCCACACTCAGCAAGGAGTCTGCTTGGGACGCTCTCTCCCTCTCCCGCTGCCCCTCCCCACACACACTTGCACGCTATTTTTCTCTCTCTCTTTCAAATAAATAAATCTTAAAAAAAAAAAAAAGTTTGCTAGCTTCAAAGACCACTAGGATCATGTCAAAAGACTTAGAACACAACTCAGAGAGGTTCCCACTTGTCAAAAGGGAACAATTTGAACATGAATAATAAAAATAACTGCAATGGACTGAAACACATCAAACATTTAAATCTTAATGATACTTAAAACGCTATTCACTGTTGGAAGGTGTAGGGGACCCGCTCATTATTTTGAAGACCGGTAAGTAGAGGGAAAGAATCTAGCATTTATTGTTCCTTTCCAATACAAATTGTACTACTCTGTAGATGAGGGAAATTTGCTCTTTTATAGAAGTATTCCAGATAATAAAGAAGGAAGAAAGCCCCATTTTACAACAGCTGATGGACTATTGGATATAGGCATTCAACTCTGACTGTTCACCACACAAGAAGGGAGAATCAGACATTACGGACCTTCTGTTGGGAGAACACACCATTGCCATGAGAATCTCACCAAAGGAAAGCTTGAATCTTAGCAGAGTCCTCAGAGTCTAGACCTAACAACCAATTTGCAGGAGATTCCAAGGACAGCTAAATTATACCACAGGTCCTTACCTTTTGGAAATACATATCAAAATATTCACAGATGAAATGATATAATGTTTGGGATTTGCTTCAAAAATAATATTCTTGGAGGGGCGCCTGGGTGGCTCAGATGGTTAAGCGTCTGCCTTCGGCTCAGGTCATGATTCCAGGGTCCTGGGATCAAGCCCCACATCGGGCTCCTGGCTCAGCAGGGAGCCTGCTTCTCCCCCTGCTCATGCTCTCTCTCTCTGTATCTCTGTGTCTCAAATGAATAAATAAAATCTTAAAAAAATATATATTCTTGGAAAAATATTACAATACATTTGTGTATGGGGTGGGGAGTAGAGGTGAAGGTAGGTAAGAGGATTGCCCATGGATGGTGGTGGTTGGGGTTGGATGATGGTTGCAAGGTAGTCACTGTTTCTCTTTGTGTGTCATTTACATTTTTCATTAAAAATTTTTAAGAAGAAAAGGAGTTAAGGAACCTGCTCTGAGGAACTGGATTCTCCCAAGTTCACAGCAGATGAATTAAAGGATCACTAGCTAGCTGTGTGTCTTTGGGGATTATGGGAAGCCAGGATTTGTGACTTCCTCCTGCAACATCCTGGGTTGGGGGTGGCGGCAACAGAGGTGACCCTTTGCTGGATTCTCTTGAAGTGTGATCTAAAGAATGGGTGTGAATCATGTGGCACTTGCTAGAATACAGATTCCTGGGTTACATCCTGGACTGCGGCTCAGAGCCTAGGAGTGTGTATGTTAACAAGCTCCCAAGTGAGTCTGATGCTCCCTGAAGATTGACAATGATTGCCTAAGAGTGTGGCTAAAGGGTCAAGGAGCTGGTGAGTCAAGAGAAGGGTAGAGAAGGCTAGAAGGTGTTCAGTATACTTCCTATCTTCTCATTGAAGGAGAGGCCATATCTCTAGCCCAGAATAAGGTGCAGGACTGGGAGGAGGGAAGAGCTGGATGACCTTACCCAGGGACTCCCTGACGATGGCTTTATTTCTTGAACCCCAGTGTCTGACAGGTAGCAAATGGATGGAATGAGTGAGTGAATGGCTGAGGGGGAGGGGAATAAGGCCTATGCTAACAAGGACTCAGCCAGAGCTGATGAGGTAGGTCTGAGTCTTTTGGCTAATGGAGGAGGGGAGAGGGTGAGCGATGGGCGCCATGTAGGACAGATAGTCTCCTGTGGTTCTCAGGCCCAAACTCTGCTGTGGGGCCTGCCTGCTGGTGTTTCCAGTCACAAAGGGAGGAGTTGTTTCCAGGGATGGCCAGAAACTTCTGTTGTGGGAACCAGCCCAAACAACCCTGTCTGCCCCTGAAGGAGGCTTTAGAGAGGTGATTACACTGGAGTAAATTGTGTTCTGAAACCTCTGCCTGCCTCCTTTGATCACTGAAGCTGACCTCACCCTTGCGGAGGCTGTTCCTCCTTCATTACACTGTGGAAGGAGCCATCCCCATCCCCACCCCCACCCCCACCCCCACCCCCATCCCCATGCTGAAAGCCTCGGCTGGATTTCCAGACAGAAGAGGAAGTGGTGCGGTCTACCCAGAGCAGCTTGGCATGCAGAAGGAGCTCTGGGATCTATTATCCTCCAGTGTGCAGATTTGATGGGGGAAGAGAACAAAGCACAGAACAGTCCAGAAACCACAGACCTGTAATCTTTCCAAATCCTGAAGGCGGCTTGTGTGCATCCCTCTCTGCACGGCTCCCAAATTTCTGAATCTCAGAGAGGCCGAGAGCGTCTGTTTCCCAGACCACAGCCAAAATGGAAGGGGAAGACAAATCTGTTCTGTTTGGTTTCCATAGATTCGACCCAGAGATTAAGTGCCAAGGTCTCGATGACACACACAATATCAATCACAGGCTAAATGTCATAATGAGAGCTGGGCAGGTTGTCAAGAGAGGCCTCCAGGTTTCTGTTACAACTTCATATTTAAAGGTTTTGTCCCAGGAAACCAAATGCCAACCTGAAGGCTACTTGGCCTGTCTCCTCCTCAAAGGATAGCAAACTCGGGCTCCTTCCTGGAGGGCCAGGCAGGTAACATCCAGTGGGTTGGGTGTTAGAAAATAAAACAGACAAAACCCCTAACTGTTGGCCTCAGGCAGGAGACAACAGGGAGTGGTGGGGACTGTGGCAGCAAAGAGAGCAACTTCTCCCCTGAAGGGCACAGCAGCTTATCCTTCCCTGTGGGAATTCGAGCCCAGATTGTCTGATGTTTTTATGAGAAGTCAGAAAGCCAGAGTTCTGTGAGAAATCTGCTGCTGTTTACTTGTAGGCAGCTGAAGGAGATGCTATCCTTGGCCTGTCCATTCCTCGGCTCAGATGGCTGCCATGTAAGTGGGCAGTCCCACTTACACTACACAAAAGGCTTCCTCCCTCAAGCCCCTGTATCTCCCTGCTGGAGGGTGTTTTCTGGTCTTTGTGCTGGTCAGGCCTAAAATAGGAGGAGTTATCCTCAAAAGTGATTGCTAATGAGGGGCAGGCGTTGGTGAATAGGCACCCCAGCTTCCTCCCCGCTCAGTGGGACCTCGGTGGGAAGTCTGTTCTACATAGTCTCCTGGAGACTCCTCAGAGTGCTCCAGCCCCCACTGCCCGGAGTGCTAACCTACTGCTGCTCATCCTGTGTGGGCTCTCTTCCCCCCCAGACTCACCTCACTCGGCTCCGCACTCCTGGAGCACCTTACAAATAAACAACTTGAACCCAAACCCTGGTCTCAGGGTCAGCTCTTGAGGGAACCTAAACTAAGACACTTACTGCTGATTTTATTTTATTTTTTTATTTTTATTATTTTTTTTTAAAGATTTTATGTATTAATTTGACAGAGAGAGACACAGCGAGAGAGGGAACACAAGCAGGGGGAGTGGGAGAGGGAGAAGCAGGCTTCCCGCGGAGCGGGGAACCTGACGCAGGGCTCGATCCCAGGGATCATGACCTGAGCTGGAGACAGACGCTTAACGACTGAGCCACCCAGGCGCCCCAACACTGCGAATTTTAAAACATTTGAAGATACACTGATAACAGAGAATTCGGAGGCCAAGTGATACTTGACCACTAGGCCTAGAGTGGCATTTC